GGTTGGTCTTGAGTTCTTGTAGGCTCTAGCTCGAATTCGTTACTTTTTACTACATGGATGTAACGGTTTCTGCCTACTGCGGCTGCATACGTACGCATATGCATCGTAGGATATGAATTCCCCGCCAGTTTCATTGTTCCTGTCATTGCTCTAATAGCTACTTATGACCGTTTCTCTCTCTTCTCTCAAGTTTCTCCCTCTCCCAGAAAAAGTCAGGGAGGGCCCACTTTCCCCTGAGGAGTACTATGCACTGAGCTACCCCAAGCGTCTGGTGTATAGGACCAAGTACAACCCTAGAAGAGTAATGGACTTGGTTATTCTGTTCTTCGGCATCTTCATCGAATGGTTGGGCAGTACGCTTCTGGCTCCTGTTACTCCTTGGTAAGATATGAAGTCCCTATCGCGAAATGCATTGAGAGTTCTCAGGTACATCGAGGATCTAGCTCCCGATATGAACCAGGGTACAGCCGCCTCTATTCTAATGGCTGCTTATGCTGTGGGGACGTTCCTTGCCTCTCTAGTCACCGGACCACTCAGTGATAGGTAGCGCGCCTTCCTGGAACTAGTACTCGAGTGGTCTCCTCAGACTCGGTCGTCGTCCAGTTCTCCTTTTTGCGATGGGTATCTACACCGTTGCTCAGTTCCTCATGGCCAACGCTTGGGATATTGCAAGCTTTGCAGGCTTCCGTGCTATGGCTGGTATCTCAGCCGGTAGTAATGAAAGCCCCGAGGATCGAACCACCAACCTCCCTATTGTCAGGTACTCGACCTGTGATCATATCCTTCTTGACTGACAGCAGTCGCCCGATCGATATGAAGCTCTACGGTGTGCTCATGGGCCTCCATGTGGTCGTAGGACAGAGTGTTGGACCTGCTATCGGTAAGGGTTGTTTTGTTCCGTTGTGATTTCTGCAGTATGATGCGAAATATGTCGTTAGTCTACTTCCCGTGTACGTTCCTTGTTGGTCTTCAATGGATAGGTTATTGTCTAAGGGCGTGTGCTGATTCAATGGTGTAATGTTTCCG